TTCAACCTACATGTACGAAATTTTCTGGGGACATGTATCATATCAAGACGCACAAAAAAGCCTCAAGAACCCATAGCCTAAAGTCAACAGGATGTCGGCCATTTTGAATTTTACGGCCATTTTTGGATGATTTACACACTTCGTACTTTAACGAACTCCTCCTAGGGATTTAGTCGGATCGACGTCAAATTTCTGCTGTGCCTTCTAAAGGCATTGACGATGAAAAGTTGTGCTATTTGCGAGTTTTCGTCAATGGGCGTGTCCGTGGCATCGATGATTCGCTATGAAACAGGAAGTTGTTGTAACTTCAGTGTACATGCTCACATCTGGACCAAACTGTACATGTAGGATGAGAGTCCCGCCCTGAACACATGTACATGCCGACATTCACCCACAGTCATAGCGCCACCTGCTGGCAACAGAAAGTGACCTTTAACGAAGCAGCCCCCGCCGCACGTTTCACCTACGTGCACAAATTTTCTGTGGTACGTGTACCTTGTCCAGACGCACAAAAAAGCCTCTTGGAGCGATGCCCTAAAATCAACAGGAAGTCGGCCATTTTGAATTTTACGTCAAATTTTGGATGATTTACACACTTCGTACTTTAACGAACTCCTCCTAGGGATTTAGTCCGACCGACTTCAAATTTGTGCTGTGCCTTCTAAAGGCATTGAAGATGAAAAGTTGTGCTATTTGCGAGTTTTCGTCAATGGGTGTGTCCGTGGCGTGGCGTCAAAGATCAAGTCTTCGCCATGACACAGGAAGTTGTTGTAACTTCAGTGTACATGCTCACATCTGAACCAAACTTTACGTGCTTGATAACTCTCCCACCCCGCTATGGAGGACCGATCCTGACACAGTCAGAAATAAATACAGAAATAAATAAGTGCTCAATAAATAAATAAGCATCCAATTAAATACACAAAAAAATAAAGTAAATAAATAAATGTAGGTAGTAATTAAATTATACAAGGAGACATAAAGGTATATATTTTAATTAGTGCCTGCACTTATTCACCTTTTGTTATAATTACCTTATTTATTTATTCAACTTTATTTATTACTGATTTTTTTAATGTATTTATGTGTGTTTTAATATTTTTGTCTGTTTTATTCTTCCTTTGTATTTATTTACCTTATTTATTTTCACCCATGGTATTTATTTCTGCCTGTCTTTTTTAAATTTTTGTATGCATTTCTGCCTCATTATGCAAATGAGGAGGGGCTGTGTCTCAATGGGTCATCTTCTCTGCTATTGGTGGACCAGTCAGACAGGAGAGCTCCTACTCTGCCTGCAGACATCAACAATCTTGCCCCTCACACAGTCAGATGGCTTCCTTCAGTGCGCTGAGGTGTTTAACAACTCTGAAGACAATACTACCAGCAATGTCTTCCTTCTCTTTTCACGTAGACGCTCCGACAGACAGTGCTTTCAGTTTGCTGCATGCATGGACACAGAACTGCGGTATAGGGAGAAGCACACGGTCAGCTGGCTGCAGCTAAATCTGGAGTGCACTCGTATTCAATTCTGTATGGTAAATTCAGTTTTAACGGAGCAGAGCGAGCTGACAGGCAGAGTTAGAGACTTTTTCTGTCTGTTTCTCTCTTTACAAAGACGCATGTTGCAGTCAGAGTCTTCTCTGAAGAGGGCAATGAAGTCTCAGTAGCACCCGATGCGAGCACCACATACAACACAATTTATCAAATTACACAACGGATATACAGTATGAAAATAAGATTGATTGGATTATACTCACAGGAAGTATAAAACCTCTTACATGCGTAACACAGTAATGTCAGGGAAATTACTTTACTTAGAATTAAGTACTGCAGTTGTACATTTGAAATACCTTCCTACCTTTCTGATAGGAAGCCTTCTTGAGGTGGTATAAAACATTTCTTCTTATATTCTGATTTGAGTTGTGGACAACTATGACCACATGAATTAAAAAAATTAAACATTTCACTGCCCAAGTCAGCTATAACACAAGTCTTGTTCATCAGACTACATGCTGTACAGTATTTGTGGACAGGATTTATTATGCATTTCTTCTTCTTCATTGCATGATTTAGAATAATAAGGTGAGAAATGGGTCTGTTCTGAATTCATCCTGCACTGCAGCAGCTAATAAAGTCCATTTAATCCCAAAAACGCTTTTCTTTTAGGCAGGCTGGAGCGAAAACAACTCACCTTTCTCAAGTTGTACAGTAATGTCACATGTGTATGAAGGTGGATCAAACAAGCTAATCTTAAATGTCAAAGTAGAGAGGAGCCTAGTAGGCCTATTTATTTTCATTCATTACACAATATGAATAAGCTATGCAGACAGTTGTAAAGAGAGATCATCTTTTTCTTCTGTTCTCTACTTGTTATAGTTACACAGTATTAGGGGTGTGGGCTGTATTAAAAGTATCCACTGTTCTCCCATGCTCTAACACAAAGTAACGATGAAATGTGTGCTGTTCTCACATTCTTCCTCTGTATGTACACATAAACAACAAGGCAGGGAAATATAAAAGGAATTTATTTTATTGTTTGGGTACATTATTGTTCAGTGTACATGCTCACATCTGAAACAAACTTTACGTGCTTGATAACTCTCCCACCCCGCAGACATCTACACGTCAATACCGATTTATATTCATAGCGGCAAGTGCTATGTAGCTCCACATAGGGGACACAGGAAGTGACATATAACACCTTCATGCGGCGTCATAACCGCATAGCAAATTCACAGCCGCACCGGCAGAGCTCCAGAATGTGCAACTCGGCCGACTCACACGCGGACGCGCTTACAAGTGCGAGGGCCCGCCCAACGCTGCTTGCAGCTTTAATTTTACCCTCATTTCTTACAATTGGAGGCATTAAGCCTAACACAAAATGGAAGAAAAACAGATTATAGTATGTCACCTCTACCCAAGTAATAAAACTTTCAGATACGTCTGGGAGGTGAAAGGGAGAGCTCTGGCTCTGCATCCACTGTTACGTTTGTTTCCATTGCCCACTATCTTCTGTATATCAGCTGCCTGTGTTGGTCAATAGGTTGCTGGTGGAATATAGTTCCTCCCCCGGTTCTCCAGGTGAAGTGAGGCTCCATGTGATGGATCAACCTCCTCCACTTCCTGTTCAGTCCACACCAGCCATTGTCACTGTGCAACTGAGAATTGCCACAGGTGACTGTCTTCTCTGTACGCTCTTTAAATTGCACACCATGCCTCCTGCTGACTTTGAACACCAGTTGCACGTTGTCTGAGCAACAGTTGCCATCTGCTTATTCTTTCCCTTATAGATGAGTCCTTCACCAGCTTCCACCCTGAGGCTCATCTGCCTCTCAGCCTCATGAGAGGCAGACCAGTTTATGTGGAAGCGAGCCTGCTGGACCCCCCAGAGCCAGGCCTGGTGCTGCTGGTTCACTCCTGTCTGGCTTACACTCGAGCTCCATATACCAGCTGGATGCTCATTTATGATGGGTATGTTGTACAGAGATAAAGGACAATGAAAAGAGTTAATGTGATTGTGTTGTGAACCTGTCAGCTTTGGTTGTGAGTGTTAAACAGAGTAAGCATGATGATGATTGACTTGCTATAATCTTTTCAAAGGATTTTGTCTCTTGACTGTTTAAAGGTAATTCATCCTTGAATGTTGCTTTGTATTTGCAAAGCTCAAGGGTTTTAAAAACATCTAATTCATTTATCTCTTTGGCTGGTTAAATATTTCTTATGCCCCGTAACACGTAATACTTTGCATTGTTGAATTAGTGTGTTATTGTACTACAACAAACTTCTGACTTTCTATCTGATGGTGGGAGCTCGTATTTACCCCTGAAGTCTGTTGTATTATGATTCTAACATGCAGCTGCAGGAGTCAACATGACATGTCAGTGTGTTATAAGCTATTCTCCTTCATATAACAATATAGTTTGTATTTTTCTCTAATAATGGGCCTAATCCCAGGATCTGACTTTACAGTATCAGTGCGATAATGGCTTGATCTGATAGATGTGGGGCTTCTCTAAGCCAACCTTCGGACAAACTTTAACATTTGTAAAAGTTTAAGCTATTGTACTGTGTATTGGAAGCAGTCTTGCAGCTGTAAATCCAAATGTTTCGCTGTGAAAAGATTTTACCACTGTGTGGTGTTCAGCTGCTCCAGCCAGGGTGATTCACATCAGCTTCCTTCCCCACGCTCTGACCGCCACGATGTCCGGAGGATCAATATCTCCAGCTTCTTGTCTCTACCCTCAGCAAGTCCCTCCTCCATGGCTAAAGGAGGATACACTCACCTGGAGGACCCAGAGGTAGCTCCCTCTTAACAAACATCCTCACAAAGTAAACACACATTCCTGTCTTTGAGGTGACCTACTGTCTGTTATGGGCTACTTCATTTTCAGGCTGCCTAAAACACAATAACAACCACTTGTAATGGCGGACACATGTACACAAGCGTTACTATAATGTGTGATAAAACCACTTCCTGTCCTTTTTTTTTTTTTTTTTTTTTTTCTCCCCTCAGATCTACTTTTTGTGCTTGACAGAAGTGTGCTCAGCTGCAGATGGTGACTGCACACTAGGCTGCATCAGTAAGTTCAACACAGTGGAAACATTGGGGAGAAACTGAGAAGAGGTCCAGTAGATTATCAGGAGACTAACAAATATGACGACTTGTGGGTTCCCATCCTACAGAATATTTGCTACACAAATGCTGCAGATGGATTTCTTTAAATGCACTAAATGTGTTGTGGCTGAATAGTTGGTTCCAATTACCCAGTTAAATCGTTATATTTCAATTTGCATTGCAAATGCAACAGAGCGTCACAAATTGGCTCACTAAAAGCCAGTATCACACAATGCAAATTCAACACAAATAGGGCTACGTATTGGTAAAAATTTCAGTCTTGTTTTTTCCTCCATAGGTCAAGAATGACGTGTGAACAATGAAATAAAGACACTGTCAACTGCACTCTTGTTTTGTTTTTTATGGAAATAAGTACAAGTCTCAGTGAAGCAGGCAAATGCCTTTTGTGGAATATTTATTTCAAAAATTGTGAACTTAAACAATATAGTGCAATGCAATAGTTAGTAGTACAGAGAGAAAACAAGCAATACAAGACACTTTGCTGTTTTCTTTCTAAACAGGACATTTTATGAACCTTTATTTGGTCACAGGACCTTGAGGAAGGAACCGAAACATGAAGGGAAAACTGTTTGACTGTAATGTCCGTTAATGGCAAGGTGTTTCCCTCGGTAACAAACCATCGTACGCAGGAAGACAGCACTTACTGCTTCATAGCTGAGACGCATTCCCTTCAAAATGTTTACACAATCAGTTAAACAGCCTCAGACAGAACCCGATGTGCCTGCAGAATATTTGTCACAATCTGAAACACATCATGGACAGAAGAAATTAAATGGAATGCAATTTTTAATAAGCTATGGCAAAGAAATAATTAATGGTGTATATAAAAATAGCAGTAACAAAAAAGTGAAGGTAACGGTGCAGTCATTACACCCTGACATGCAGAATGGCTAGTGTGATAAGTTGTCAAAACTAATTTGACCTAAACTTATGAGTTTATGAAATAGTTTAAAAGGATTTTTAAAGAAAATGTTCCCTTTTGCATTTATACATACATCTTTAACACAGTGATATTTGCCAGTGGCTCAGTGAGCATTTAAAACTCCCACATGCTGCAACAGACAAAAGCACTGCATATTAACATAACTGCTAAAAGGTTTGACATGTGGAAGTTTTATTTATATATAAAAAAAAAGTCTGGTCCTCAGATTACACATTATACGCCTGCAATCATGTAGAGGGCTGTCAGGCTAGAGTGCACCTGCTGTCTAGCTTTGACCGTTTCAAGCTAGATGCATAATAGCTAATTATAAGCAACATCCATTTCACAAGGAGTTGTAGTATGATTTAAAAAAAACAAAACAAATATTGATGGCAGCTCTGAACAAAGGAGGTATTTTCTCTGCAATGGATCAAATTATTAGCACAATGTATTGTTTTAGGATATAAAAATGCTTTTAAGACCATTCCAAGTTCAGTTCTAAACTAGTGATCAGTAGTTCACATGCAGATAAAAATCTGTACACACTTATTTGCTGGTTTAGCCTGAATTCCAGCGATGGTCTTTGTTGATGAGGCAGGGGGTAAGCTTTGAAAACTGAATCCTTAGTACACGGTCGAATAGTACGTCCTGATCTCCTGCTGGCCTTTCTTGATCTGTTTCAGGAGGGTAACTGCGCAGACCATGGCAGTAATCTGTTATGCGGACACAGGAGGATGGGGAAGTAAAGAGCAGGGATGGGACAAAGGAAAAGTGTGCAGTGAACAACCAGCTTCCTCATCACCCCCAGGATGAACCCAGTCACAGAATGAGTTGGTGTGAGAGAGTGGTTGTACTTTAAAGCACCTGCTACTAATCTGCACGCAGCCACATAAGAAGCTTGTGTGGAACTAAAACAGGCAAAATGTTCAATGAGGAATAAGTAGACACTTCAAGGAGAAATCCAACATATGTATTCTTTAACAGTAGATACATTTTCCTAAAAAAAGAGAATCTCAGAAGAGGCTTCATTCACTGATGCCACATCAAACATCACTTTCCAGCTAAAAGTTAGTGAGGGGAAAAAAAGGAGTTGTTTGTTTGCCTACTGATGCATGATTGCAGAAAATGTGTGCAAAATGAAAAAGGTGCCAAATCTCAATGCAGCTGTGCCTGGAAAATCTTGACACATCAGCATTTGCTCAATAATCTGTGGGAATTAAAAACAAACGACATAACACGGAGGGCTGTTATTATTGTGCCATCTTTAAGGTTGGATTTTTCCTTTAAAGCGAGCTGAAGGCACTGTGACCAAGCTGAGAAGAGCTGAAGAGGTTCAGTAGTCACCCAAATTTGTATTCTCTATACCAAAGCATAGGACAAAGTCAAGACTGCGTAACAGCGAGAGTGAAGACTGACAAGAGCGCACTAAGCCTGAGACACAGGGATGTTGGCCACAGTGAGAGGGGGGAAGACTGGGTCCTGGTCAGGGTAGGAGGTGGAGGCAAAGCTGTGCAGGGGTTGTTGAGGGTTAGCCAGGACAGAAGTGGAGTGAGTCAGGATGATGTACTGAGGAGATGAGGCGGACTGACATATCTTTCTACTGAGGGTTGTGCTGCAAATCAGAGCAATGATCTTTGGGAAGCAAGGAAGCAAGAAAAAAGTGATGAAAAGGAAAATGTTTATAGCAAGGCAGGAGTATTAATTAGGAGAGACAGAAGAGTTTAGCGTGATTACAACATGGTCATTAACTGAACAAGAGCAAAAGACAAATTTGAGCTTGTCTATAGAGCCTAAGCCCATCCCTACTGCCCCACAGGACCTTTATTTTTTTTTAAAAATGTATGGTAGTCAATGGCGAGGTTCTTTTATAGCGCTTGAACTGTACCCTGAATTACACGTTTGTCAATTTACAAGATAACTGTCTATGCTGTAATGATAACTAAGGTTCATTGCTTGCTTGTTACTTGCTCGGTCAGTTAGTCCAAGCACAAATGTAACTCACCTGATTTATTTAATCCATGGACTTCTGGTCCTTTCATCACATCATCTACACATGTAAGTTCTTTGACGTTAACTTCAGCCATTGAGAGAAAAAGTTACGTTGTCATATTATTTTCATATTATATTGTGGTCTTCCAAATTCCGTATTTTCAGTTATGCTTTGACATTTTTACGACAAACTGCGACATCCTTGACTTGCAAAATTATCTTTTAAATTGACAAATGTGTAATTCAAGCAGGATCAAAAAACATTGACTACGTTCATATTTTTTTTCAAAATAAGTTCGTCCACCCAAATAAGCAGTTGTTATGAAATGTTTGATTTATTTCCTCCAGATAATATAAGATATTGCCTCAGCCGTTGTCCCTGCAGGAACAGCTACTGTAGCAGCTCTGACTATGGACAAACTCATTTGATTTTAAATACAAAATAGATGTAAATAATAAATGGACAATGTACAGTGATTAATAAAATGCTAATTAAGTATTGTTTTATAAATACCCCCCCATTTACCAGCCAGTTTCAGTCAAAATGTTTCCTTAATTTACTGCATCTAACTGTAGAAATGTGCTGCATGCAAGATAACTGCCTACCAAAAGAGCTCCAGTTCCGACAAAGATGCCCATCACAAGTGAGGCTTTACTGTTAAAGACATCTGCGATGACCCCTGGACAATTCTATAGGAAAACCAGAAGAGAAACTGTTAGCACCCTCTATGCTGTTGTGATCCCAGAATACAGCAGTTCAATTTATATTACATTTAAACCAACTTCATTAGACCAACTTACAGGCATGACAATGTTCTGCCAAAACCCATCTGGTTTGGGACAAGTCTTTTGAGCCAGCTCTATCACCACGACCCCTGTCACTCCGCAGCAGTGAAGCTACAGAGGAAGGAAATTAAGAATACTGAAAATTACACTAATAAACAACAAAACATAATTGTATAATTGAAATATTGAGCCCTTAAGTGTTCAATATTAAATAAAAACATGAAATAGTTGTATGATTAAATGGTGTAAAATTTCAAATATATAAATCAGGCAATCGGGTGTTAAATTAGTTATGAAATTGTTTAAACACCGCTCATAATGAGGAGTGATGACATAGTTTGTGCTTACCATTTTCTGGATGAACGTGAGTGTGACACCAATGACTGGGTCTCCACTGTTCAAATACAGAGCATACATGCTACTGTAGAACTCCACAATACTCATACCAACCTAATGGTGAGGATTAAAACACAACATGGTCATAAATACAGGGCATGTACAGATTTATTCTATTTTTCATCCTATTTCTGTCCCCTCTCCCTCCATTTCCCTCTCACCTCATCACTCTTGGAATAAGCGAGCACTCCAGCAACAACTTCAGCTAATGCCAGTATGGACACCAGGGCAGAGAACTGAAAGAAAAAAAAAAAAAAAAAAACACCTTCATGAAACAGGTTAATAAAAGGATCAACACCTAGGAACAGGTAAACAAACAACATAAAGCTTGATCCATTTTCTCCCACTACTATTCGCTTGCAATAGTGGGAAGAACGCGAACATCGCACTTCATAGCGCCCACTGTTGGTGGGGTCAGAGTGGAGGATGCTGTCCAATCTACATGTCATCTTGGACAATGTCTCCCACCCACTCCATGACGTGCTGGTCAAACACAGTAGCACTTTTCAAACTGTTTAACTTCTCCCTCGAAGTGTCTGACACACAGACCCTTAGTATTGTGCAATACTTTATATTCTGTGCAATATTCTCCATTTTAATTTTCAGTGTGCAATATTCTTTGCTGCAATTCGTAAATGTTGTACAAATCCATGCTCCTTTACATATTTTTATATATTTTTTTACCTACCAACTTCTATTATTATTTCTATTGCTTCATGTCTTGGTGTGCAATGTGTGCAACTGTGACAAGAATTTCCCCCTGGGGATTATAAAGTATTTCTGATTTAAAAATAAAATGTAAAATGCCATCCAAAAAATTTGAACCTGTAAGAGGTTGGTAGCAATCTAAAAATATTGAGGTTATTTGTAATTTATTAATTTCACTGGCCACTGATGCAAATAAATTCCTCAAATTTTCTCTTGACCGAATGATTTAGACATTTTCTGTTCAGGCTGATGTACTTTACAAAACGTGCAGGGGAGCATGCAGTTTCATTAATAACTCAGTTTATCCACTATTTTTTTAGTTGCCTAGAGTCTAAGGGGGCTTTCACACCTACCTCGTTTGGTCTGGACTTTCAGACTTTTCAGTTTGATACGAACAAAAATTATAGGTGTGAAACCTCGACAATTATAAATCCGCCGTGACAGCTGGTCCTTTGACACAGACGACCACTATGGAAGCAAATTGCCACTCACATCTTTGGTCTCCCCTCAAACGGAGGTGCAGAATGATTGCTTACCATCTTCTCCTCCTTTCCTGCCGGCGACAATATAAGGTTCACATAACGAGGATTTTTATTTAGCGAATTTCAACTAGCCTTGGGTATAGTTGGTGCTGCAGGTAGTAATGCCGTGAAAATACAGTGGCAACGATATGCATCTGTTTGTCCCTTATTCATTCTTGTCAAAGCTCCCCGCAGAACTGTTTACAATTCAATCAATGTCAAGTGTGGGGAGACGCAACCCACATAGATGATGACGTCAGGACACAGGTATGTCAGGTAAAGGTTTTTATTGCGCACGCAGAATTGCAGTGTGAAAACAAACCAAAACTAACGGAATGTATCAAAATAGGAACTTTGGTTGGGACCTTATTTGAAATGGTGTGTTGCAATGTGTTGCTGTGCAAATGTCTTAATTGTGTCACAGCCTATTTTCTTCCTACAGCACACAGTCCTCCTCAGTTTTGTAACAGTTAAAGAATGCCTCTGAACTTTCCTACAGGGACATCCAGACGAGAGAAGATACAACTGGAAAACACTATTAAACAGGACATTAGAGGGAAAAGAACAAAAGAGGAATTTGAAACATTTTTGGGGTGAATCAGATTTTAACAAATGTGTGTTTGATTTTGCTACATTTGCAACTCCACTATCACTCCACTCTCATCTCCACTATCAACTACAGGATACCAACTTTGTTTGGGATATGATGTTGCACACCAGACTCAGTTCTTTGTGCACAAAAGAGAATAACAAGAGTGCCAAATAAAGAAAAAGGTTAAACGTGCAGAATTTCCAAAGATTCCGAGAGCTCACCATAGACAGAGCTATGAGAGGCTAAAGGATCACTTTACATTCCTCATTCCTCCCTCGCATCCATTACTTTCCCCACCTGTGTGGTGTGGGCGTTTTCAACATGAAACTCTGACAGTTTCAATACTTTGTGGTTAGAAATGGAGAAAATATACAGGTTTCGGGAAGTACAGTTATAGTGAGGACACTGGAGCACTAGACTGAGCAAGTCCAAAGTGAAGAAACGAAGTTGTCCATATTAATTTAAGTTGCACAAGCAAACGTGATCTCGGGATCAACTTCAGGAACTACGTGGTAACGTCAGTGCAAAAACTTTCCAACAGAAATGTGTGTGAGAGGTGCAACTGTTTTTATCTACTAAATAAGTTCTTTTTATACAGTCTCTTGATATCTCTTGGCCTTGAGTGTAAAACAGGCTTCTGTCTCTGAAAGAAGGCAGCTCAGACGGATTTCATGTTTCAGTCTTTTGAGCTTCTCTGAAACATTACAGGACTGCTTAACTCACCCATGTCACCTCGACTGAAATACTCAGCTCATTTACTTAAGTAAAAGTAACAATACTAAAGTGTAGAAATACTTTGATAGTAAATGTGTTGCATTCAAAATTTTACTTAAGTAAAAGTATCAAAAGTAAAAGTTCTCAAATGGCCCATTTCAGATAAATGCTGTGAAGTAAAAAGTACAATATTTCTCTCTGAAATATAGAGGAGTATATGTATAAACTCCAAATAGAAGCCGCTAAAGTACAGTATGTAAGTAAATGTACATTCCACCCCTATACCTTACAGGTGCACCAAGATTCAGGTAAAAACAAAAGATAATTTGCACCTAAGCGGTAATTACAGTGTGCCCATTGTGTAAGGCACACTACTGCACAACCGGGAAAAAAAAAACACAAACACTTTACACAACTTTACAAGGAAGTTACTCTGTAAAGAAAAAAAGTCTCACCACTTGCAGAGAACATCTTTTCTCATTGCAGGCACCGTAGTCTCCAAACACCACCACAATCAGCATCACTGACCCAAGAGCTATCAGTACAGTCACAGCTGATGAAAAGAGAGAGAGATTGAATCTGTATCAGAGGTGTCGTGCATTTTTTGGGGAGAAGTCAAGTTTGCAAAATGTGCACTGACCCATGACAAATGCACTTGAGTTGAGGGCCTCTATTTGGAAGATGCCTCTGGTGCTTTCGCTGAACCTCAGCCACAAGCCAAGACCCAGGAAGGCAAACCCCAACACCTGCAAAAACACAGAAATAAAAGAAAACCACAAAACACCAACATTTCTGGTTACATAGTTTCACATAATGCTCAGGGACAGCTGAAGATCAACTGGTATTCAAATTGTGTAGGACTAAACAGGTGGTGTGTAGGTGAGCAGAATTTATTTTACATGCAATGTACCTTACTCTAAATTAAAGTAAACCTTACTGGCATTGCGGCAAACATGTTTGCAAATCTATATGGCCCAGGTGGATCTGATCTAGCCCCAACCTGGAGTAAAATGAACGGATTTTTTTTATTTTATTTGAAAGTTATCCCAAAGCCCTAACATTCTTGCTATCTGGGATGCCATGCAAAAATGTTCTTAGAGGCCAACTGTGGGAATGCTAGGTAAACCAAAACCATTAAGAGGGACCCCTTTCAAACAACAAAACACAATGAAATGCAATGCAATGACAGGACAGCACAGGAAAAGCACAAAAAACAGTTTTTTTTAAAAAAAGTACTATGACTCAGTGCCATCTCTCTTTTGGTTCTCTTTCACCTTGGTGAGTGCTACTTAGACAGAAGAGGTGGATAGTCTAGCTGTCTATTACCATCGACAGGTATAGTTTATTCAAGGAAATTCACGCATCAGGTAACATGAGCTGGTATTCAGCAGAAACGAAACTTCTGTGACGCACCTAATGTGACCCAACTGTAGCTGTACTGTAACAACTTTCAGTTACACACCCACAAACAAAACCCCAAGTTTATTTTGTGTGTGTTTGCTTTGATGTGCATGATAAATTTGTTACACTTACCGCAAAGACGAGGTTGAAAATGAAGAGGATATATTTGCAGGCAAGGCCACATCCATCCAGTGCCATGATAAAGCGTTTGTTTTTCCACGTCCGGTTAGTTTGTAATGAACGAATGACCTTATCACTTCTGCAGGCTATAGAATACACACACGTAAGTTACATACACACATACTATAACCTACAATGTAGGATTTTGTATTAAGCAAAATATTTTAACGGTGCTTTTTCGTAATGTGTCAGTCACGCTACACACGAAATGACCTGTAAATATATTAAAGATACCTTTATTTGTTTAAATCCGTCTGCGGTCTCTCTCCCCTGACCTGAAACAGAAGATACACAAATTCCCCAATGATACTGTGTTGTCTTTATAGCTAAATGTACCCACGTTATGTCCCGCCTCTTTAGCCTGGCTCGGTCATTTAATTGGCTGAGAGGCGTGACTGACACGACGTAACACGTATGAGCAGAGGCGCTGACGCGGCGGTGGCGACCAGAGGGAAGGTCCGCAGGAAGAATGAAAGTTAAGGAAACGAGAGCAGAAACAAAAGCTTAGTTCGTTATGTTGTTAATAGCCGGTTTTTTTTTTTAGATCTGATCTGTGGCACAAATATCACAGGAATCCACAGACAAATGTACAGGGCCAAACTGTAGGCTACAGTGAACCATACCAATTCTTTGACTATTCTTCTAACTTGCTAGCATGAAAAAAAAAAAAAAATATCAAAAGAATACTGATAATTTTTGGTTCTTGTAAATGTGAAACTTAAAATCCTTCTGAGAACGAAGAAAGAAAACAGGAAATTTGGTATTCGGTCTTGATCAATTCACCACAGGATGCAGTGCAACACAGACAATGTTTAAATAGCAAAACTTCATTTCATTTTTTAAGAAAACAAAAAGACAGATAGAAAACTAACAGCCTACGCTACCACTGGACATAACTTCTGGGGATGTTAATTAATCATTTGTCTATAAAAATATAATAGTGGAAAATGCCCAACACAAGAAAAGCAGCAAAATTGTGTGCACAAATAGGCTACACACTGACTGATTGTGAGAAACATCTCACCAACAGAAGTGTGCAGAACATACGTTTAAAGTTAAAAGTAAAGCAAAACTGTTGGAGGTTAAATGTAATTAAAGGACATATATAACCAGCATACTATTAATCATATATAGTGTGCAATGTGAAAACTACAGGAGCTGTGGGGAAACTGTATACGCAGTGCCACTAAAATACAGATGTTCCTACAGACAGCATGGTGTGGTTTTCACAACCAATATCTTTTCATCACCCGCGAGGTCTGTGGCTGTATTAAAAGAGTAATGGCTTCTAGAGGCTTTTTGCCAGTGAAACAGGTGGCGGCTGTGTGGAGTGATGTGACCTCAGTGCCGTCCATCATTACAGGTTCAGTGGGTGGCAGAGGGACAGGTAGCAGCAGAGAGACAGAGGTTGACAGAGTGAGTGATTTAGAGGGAGAGAATAAAAATCATACTCACACGAAATAAACTGCTCTCTCAGATGCTCATGTTCACACACAAACACACACACACAATCACAAACATTTACACATCTGGCAGTCGGCCTGAAGTGACAGCAATCATCTGTTCTGAGGCAGGCAGGTGAGGTGAGTAATCTGCAGATTTTTTATCACATAGGTGTGTGTCTGTATGTGTGTGTGACAGTAAAAACACTGTATTTCTCTTTTTGATGCCCCCCCCAGTTATTGCAGTTGTGTCGCAATAAACTTTTCTTCACAACAGCAGCCATATTTGATTAGTGTTGCTTTTGTATGAATTAAATGACAATAATTTCACAAGAGAGCAGTAGGGTTTTTTTTTTTCTTTCAAGATGCAAAGGACGCTCTGTCGTTAAAGAGCCACCAGGGGGCGCAAACACATTAAAAACATGACCCTATATCCCTGCTTTAAAAATAATCCAACTCTGAGACTGAGGATGCCAGCTTGCTGCTCTTTTGATGTATTTTGATTTGATTAGTATTTTATTTCCGTCCTTTTAGTTATTAGGCGCCTTTATTTTTAGTTTAAATGGCCGTGCTCCAAAAATACTCATACAAACAATACATAGCCTATGACTGAATTTATAAACTGATTATGTTTCGATATGCCCTGAAGAACTGAAAAATGTACACTCTCATGCGAACACATTATATAATTTCCAGATGTGGGAATCCATTGTCTTTTTGTGAATGTGAAGACACGCGTGACGTAGCCTAATGTGTTACGATGCTGCTTTACAGACCTTGGATGTGAAAAACAGCCCACATTTATAACTTTTCTGCTTATGTATGTAACATTATGTATCCGCATATGAAAATATCATCTGGAGTGTTGTCGTAAAATGCAGCCATTATTTTATATACTTCAAAATTTCCTTTTGTCTGTTTTAATTGCGGACCTTTCATACATATTTTATTATTCTTTCATTATGTTTCATTGTTCTGAAATAGGGTATTTAGCCTAATTTGATTTAGTGATCTTTTGGCGGTGTTGTGAGCAGCAAAATAGTAGCATCTTCTTTATAAATCGGCTAAACATTGAAAGAAGTGACGATAGAGGAGGAGGGGGAGCTCCGGGGGGGGGAATTTGGGAGAAGAAGAAGGAGACAGAGGAAGCGCAGACCTCAGACCAGCCCACCTCACCTCACTGTCCTCTCTCTGAGGCAGTTGTCCGTAGATCTAAATCTGACCGCGGATCAGCGCGCTCGGGCTCCCTCCTCAGACTCAGACCAGGGGAAATCGCGTTCGTCGGTCGGAAGCCAAGTCCGCACGCCAAGACACATCCATAGCAGACCACGGCGAGGGGACGGTGTGATAAGAACTGAAATCAAGAGGAAGGCTGGTAGGAACAACAGAGGGCTTTAAGGCGAAAACACGTTCAGCGGCGAGAGCACAGAGGACTGGCTGGCCCCGCATAAGGAGAAGTATCACGCGTAGCTAATTTCCAACATTTCTATTATTGGCAGCGGGAGTGTGCTCCCCGAGCCACATTTATAAAGAGAGCTAGCGGAATGTAATGCTAGCAAGCTAATGTTAGCTGGCTAATTAGCTTGTCAGGCATCCAAGAGTCGGACGTGTGATCTTTATTGAAATAGGTCACCGTTTGGCGTCGTTTTACTTTTTGGGGAAAAAACCCTATACTTTATGTGCTTTGTCCAGAATCCCGGCATGGTCATAATGTTCTGCCTCGAATAGCTAACGCCAAGTTAGACAATACACAGCACAAGCTGCCTATATTTATGAAAACCAGTTGAAAATTGCTCGTCTACGCTTTGTGGGAAAAGCCAAATCCATTGTGAACACCGAGCTGTGGACGAATCAGAAGGAGCAATTAAAGGTAAAAACAGACTTTTGACTGGTGACTGTCTGCCGTCCAATGTTAATGTCGACCGACGTTGCATCTATAATGCTACCCGTTAGTCGGGGAATAATGGACCGGGAAAGAGACATTGATACAGCAGCCGGACCCCTTGCTAACGCGGTCGGGGGTCCAGCAGCTGTCCGGGGCATGAAGCGAGGAGACCCGGAGCCCGACGCTCAGACAGCGGCTGCCCTGCCTGACTTAACCGGGGCGGAGTGCAAAAGACCAAGGATAGACGGGACCGGGACTGTTGTTGGTGACATTGGACAGGTAAGAGTGTAATGTAAACACGTACAGTGTCAGTTCCTCGCATCTGTGTCGTTTTGTCTCCATCTCAGCTCCATGCGTGCAGCGTTGTAACAAAGTCTCAACTGCCCTCCCCTGTTTTCTCCTGCACGAGCTTTTGTTCCTAAGCACCAGCAGGGAATGATGATAATGTTTTGATAGGCCTCTTTCTCTCATCAACAGCATAATCATGAATCATTGCAGCAAAAGGCAAATCCTTTAATTAAAACCGAATGAGGGGTTTGTGAATTGAACTAAAAGTGTGACATTAGTAAAATGTGGCTTGCTGGAGCTGCTCAGTGAGAGAGCAAGACCAAGCCAGACAAAGGTAATATGATACAGGCTCCATTGCTATGACAGACAGCAGCACAGCAAAGATCAGACCCATTCATCATCCCTGTCTCACAGAAAGTGAACCAGTGCTCACTGTAGCAAAGCACACTGTTATTTATTTATTTTAAAATGACATGGATGAAATTACTCAGACCCTGTGATGATAGTTTGCAGTGAGTCATCACATCAAATCCTGATACACACCGCATGTGCCATTAATGCTCCATACCCCCCCTGATTGTTGCTAGGTGTTAAAAGAGAGCGGCAGATAGGGATTGGGGGAGGGGTCACCACAGTGAAAGACAAAGAACAGAGCCTTTTTGGTGTCGGCTGAAGGAGTGAGGGGACTTGAGGGTTGAGGGGGCCCCTCCTTAACACAGGTCTTCCCTGCTTTCATGACTCGACTGCTGAGACAGCAAAGCGTCAGCAACCGTTCCTGCTTCTGAAGGGCTAATCTGTGTACATTACGGTAAACCAGGGGACTGCCGAGGGACAGGTTTCACTTCACTCTCTTGATCTCCCTGGATCTGTTACTGTTTATTTCTCATAAACACACGCACTATACATCATTCTTGCACCTACGCAATGTGCTTTGAAGTGTCCATAATCCAACAGCACAAGGGAACATTTTAGCAGACGTCCGGTGTTTTAGCCCAGGGAAACGGCACTAACAGTAGTGTAAGGGCAGGCGGGCATGGTTTGAGGTCATCTGCAGGTAACTCAATCCTTGAGAACTGGTAAAACACTTTTAATTGGCTGCGCAGCTGACCTGCTGCAATGACAAATAGGTCCCGTGTGATGCCGTGATCGTCAAGCTTCGCAGAGGATGGATGTCGATGATGGGGAGAGGTTATAGTCCGCCGGCAAAAATGATGTGACAATGAACAGCGCATGCATGGGAAGGATTCCCGCCGCCCATCAGTTGTATTGATCACTGGGCACTGGGGGGGGGGTCACACTGGAAATGGGAGGGAGTGGAGCAGAGATGGGGGAGGTAGAGTGAGTTGATGAATAGATGGCGGAGTAGAATGTGATATAGAAAGAGAGAAACACAGAGCAATGGATTGAGCGAGGAGGGATTCAAGGAGGTGGAGGACAAAGATAAATAATAGTGGGGTTTGAACGGATGCAATTTTTGTGTGGATAACAGATGAGAAAGGAGATTCGAGACAGATGTGCCCTGGATAGGTAGATGTAGGGAAACATAAAAAGGACGGAAGCGTGGAGAATACCGGCAGGTATGAAATCAGAGCTGTTAGTTTGCATCCATCGGAGATCATGATACAGGAGCAAAGGAAAGTGATGGATGGCTGGAATGACGTGATCTGCTGGGGGAGATAAGTAGGAGCACAGGCTCTGAATGGAGATGAACAGTTGAGTAACACTTTATGCAAAGGGTAAATAAAAAAAGAAAATTACATAGAGGGCTAATGCGGGCAAGTCAGTCATGACGGTTGAAAGGCAGTCGCTCAGTGTAGCTGTGTGTGTGTTCAGGATGGGGAGGATGAGTTCAGTGGATGCTCCTGTAACCAAATGACACACAACACTTAACATATTATTCCCATTGAGAGCTTGAGGTTGTAGATTGCTGACCTGCCGGGCTGACTATAAATCAGGACAGTATTATTAAATGAGAGTGCAGCCTCTTCTCCTGTTTGTTGCTCCTGCTCTCCTCCCCCGCTCCATACAAACAGCAGACCTCTTCACACCCCCCCTTATTCCCCCTATTCCCCTCTAGCTGTCCTCTGATTTCTCCCCCTCCTATCTCCCCCCAAGCATATTTCCAGATTGCTAATTGACTCCTGGATCACAAGCTTTCAGTGTGCCAGTGAGGTGAACCACCCTAACCTCTCTCTCTCTCTCTCTCTCTCTCTCTCTCTCTCTCTCTCTCTCTCTCTCTCTCTCTCTCTCTCTCTCTCTCTGCTGTCCCATCTCCCCCCTGCCATCTTTGATTATCTCTCCCCTTTCTCGGCCCACCTCCCATCACTCAAATCTATTGTAACATCCATCCATTTCATGTCCCAGCTCCACATCTGTCCTCTCATGTTTGTTTGTTTCAATCGCTTTGTGGCACTCTCTGTTGGTAGTATTGATGTTTCCCCTCGAGGCAGTGCTGTGGTCCACTCAGATGCAGTTGTAGTACAGTTTGCAACTCTCCCTCGGCCCGTCTCTCTCTCCGTTTCGCAGAGCCGATTTGTCCTATCGTTGGCAGTAAAGAGGCTTTGTGTCGCGCTAACGAGATCAAAGCTCATTTAGGACAGGGCATTAACCAGACTGATCGCTTTAACGGGCCAGAGTAAAGGCAGGGGGTCAGGCCAGGGGGTAGATATGAGTGGACAGGTCACTGAGATAAGTTATTATCAGTGGTGAATTTTGGTTTCAGAAAGCTCACCACAAGCAGTGTTCATTACACTGATTGTTGCTTGTTTATGTAGAATAAATGCACTTGCATGAGCTTTTTTAGTCTGTCCATGAGCCCAATGAGAAATTTAGTTGGTTGGTTGCTAATGGAAATGCGCTGCTGCCAACAGTCAACTCCCGACCACTCGCTTTAAAAAACAGGCATTAAAGGATTCTCTGGAGAGCTGTTTGCATTTTTCCTTGTTGGTGGAAGTAAATTGCACCCAAAATTATAAATAGTTTTATCTGTAGTTTCTAATCTAATTCTTTTTTTTTCATTTCAAAATCCTTAAATCTAAGCTCAAACTGTATTTTATTTTTAATTTTTTACTATGAAAGTCAAAACTAAATCAGTGACTTTTATTTAATAATTGATTAATTACTATAATAATGTATTAAGTAAACATATGAAGCAGTGGCTGGATACAGTTGTATAAATGTGAAAATGTGCTTTCATTAGTTTCGTATATTTGAATATAATGTGACTAGTCAGTCCGTAGGACACCACTTTGGTCTTTCTGATAGACATTTGTCATTGTTGTTGACATTTTTTGGACTAAAGCTGCAGACAGACCGCCTCTGGCGAAAACGCATCTCAGTGCACCAAATGTCCGGCTGGTTGGGTGATATTCTGCCAGTTGGGCAGTGCTTGTTTTTGGCTCGTCTGTTTTCAGAAACGTTCTCCTATTACAGCTAAACTGTGCACTAAAATATGTTCTGGAGAACATTTGTGATGAGAAATGGGCAATTCGGTAACAGAAGCTTGAGTCCCATTTGATCAGTGCTGCCTAGTGTTAGAGTTTGGTCTGAGTTCAGTGAGCCTTGTTTGTTGGTCTGGACAAACTAATTTTCATAAAGTTGAGGTAGAGTCGTGTTTATGCAAATATTGATATGGCGAACAGTCAGTCAACTTGCTGTCGCTTATCCATCGTGCTCTGTGTGGCCGGATCCCCTGCTCTCTATAGAAAATGATTAGAATCTGTCAACTTGACATATGTTGTTGCATTCATTTCGTACTGCATGCAGATTTAGACCCTGCAGACTTAATTAGTAGGAGAAGAAATAATTAGTAGGTTAGTTTACAATGAAAATCATTGGTTGGTGTTCCTAATCACTGACTAAGATAGCAAGATAAAATGCTATTGCTGCATTTACAGGTTGCATATATTAGTAGCCTGCACGTGCCCGGAGAGCAGCCTAAATTATTAACCGAAAGGAAGAAACCTCCATAGAAGGGGGACAGGGTTACGGAGAGGTAGAGGAGGTGGGTCAGGTTGTGTGGTAATATTTGTAACAGAGGGTTGTACCCAATCCTACCTAGTCTCACGTTATGCTCTCTACTGCTGTTTAATGATTGCTGTTAAACTTTGAGCCACTGCACAGCGGTGAAGTCACCCTTGACTTTTGAACTGGCACAGATAATCTAAAAATTCCCCAGACAAAGTTGCTCAACTCATACTCGCTCTCTCTTTCTCTCTCCAATTTAATTCACTATGTTTATTGGCACAGGTGCAACAGATCTATTGCGAAAGCACAAAAGAATAACCAGATTGGAGAAAACAGAGGAAAGGCACCGTTCACAATAGAAGAAAATAGAACAGATCTCTCTCTCCTTCTTTTTACGCTTGTAAAGGACACCGGTTTCAGCTCCTTAACATGACACTCGCATGTTAACTCTCCCTTTATGGTCATCATGTCACCGCTCCCCCACCCTACCCTACAAGCCTCCTCCCCAAGGCTGCCCCCAAACTGTCATATGTGCTCCCATCTCCAGCCACACAGAGTGAAATGTCAATTCAGTGTTTCCCTTACATGGGGTCATTTGTGATGCACTGCCACAGTATTGTCACAGCTGCCACAGTGTCATGAATAATGAAAATTCAGTTGTGATATATACATATACACATTAAGTTGTGTGTGATGCTTTGTCCTTTTTTAAGATCAGACTTCAGCCATGCCTAATACACATCAGAGTACCAGGAGGATCAGTTGATGCTGAGTACTGATGTGACACATTATTAAATTAGTTACTTACACTACTGAGAATCTGAAAACCTCACGTTTATGTGTGTTCTAGTTTAATTCATTAAGCATTGTAACATAATACATGCCTGTGGTTCACTACAGGCTATTCCACGACAAACTGAAATAATTAGATCCGACGGAAAACAATGAAGCAGCCCGTGCAGCATATTGGTGCAAGTTACAGGGGGGAAAAATGTACAGACAGCTTCTCACTTTTCACTGAACTC